GCTTATTTCATAATTTGAACAATTTTCTCTGGCATGGTCATTCTTGTCAACGCTTGAATTTCGTATGCATAAAAGTATTTTTAAATAATACTCCTTGTTTCTCTCTTAATTAGCACGATTGTTTCACCCTGCCAGTACCTCATAAATAATGGACTATTCCGGTTTGATAATTTAAAAAATGGAAAAAACATATCAGTGACGATACTTGGTTTCAGTGAGAAATTAAAAAAAAAACGAAAGAAGTGTTTAACGCCTGTTTCAGTGTAATAGAAAAAGAGACCAGATTCAAATATTTTTTTATTTGTACCCACCTACTTAATAATGTCTAGGCATTCGCATTGATGATTGTTATTGCAATATTTTGTTCAAACTTATTAAGCTCAAATATTTAACGATGCTTCATGAGCGTATTCAACCATTAATTAAAGAATTAAGATTCATCAGAAACTTCAAATGAGAAAAAGAAAATGGCGAAAGTGTTATGACAAGAACAAAATGAGGACAATAATCCACATGTAAATAAAAATCCAACCCGTTGATAAAGTCTCAAATTGGCTTTACATTTATTAGAGTTGCTTCCAATCCAGAGATTCAAATTTAAATGATGATCTTGAAATTTGAAAACTGATTCCCATTCAACTACAAACACATAAATAAAATATACTTTACACTGAACAGCGAATTTCTCTATTTTATGAATGATGTTTTTTCCACTTTCTATTCGGCAAGAGAGAACAAGGTTCCATCCATCAGTTTTGCTTACATTGTAATTCAGTGAGCTTATAATACTACAGTTGCATTCATCTTGGCCAATTATTTTTGCCAGGTCATCTTGAAGCTGGCTGAAACTTGTGAGACTTTTTCGATACCATTTCACAGAAAAAATTGGGAACTTGCTTAGATGATGTTTTCATGAGGTTAGCAATTGTTGGCAAAGCTGAAAAAGAAACAAAGTAAGCAATTTTAATTGTTTTAAGAACAAAATCTTATCCAGTTAATTATATTTCCTCACATAATATTCCTTTTGCCAATACGAAACATTTAACATGTAATATCTACAAAAATATCATTTGCCTGAGCAGAATCATTTTCAAATTTAAACTGTTTACCAAATGTTGATTTACAATCCACCATATCTCATTCTCATCTTAATATTTTCACTTTCGCCAACATTCTATTTTTACAGAAATATTTTTTTAATGATTCGTACCTTGTAATGTGATGTTCTTAGAATCTACAGGAAGACCATTTTCAGCTCCAATCCCACGACACACGTACCATTTAAAATCATGGCAGTTAACTTGAGAAAGGACAAATGTCACAGAACATCTTTGCGCAGATGCGTCAGAGTTGACCTCTAGAGAGACAAAAGTATCGGAACTTATTTCAAACTTATCACATGCTACTACGTAAGTTGCCTCAGTGGCTTTATTCCCACTGAGCAATGTTATCATCGCAAGGTGATCATCATTTGGAAATTCACATGTTATTCTCATGTTCACTGAGTTCAATGAGTTTTTAGTGTCACAGCTGCACCTGTAATGTAAAGGAAAGAGGAAATCAACAAAGACAAAAAAACACAAACCAAAGAGAAAAAGAGGACAGAGACGCACACAAACACACAAATGCACACAGTGAGACACACACGTACACATTCAGATACAGGCACTTTCAAAGACCGAGATGAACACATGCAGAGACGCACACACGCACAGGCAGATAGAGATACAAAGAGACAGATAAGACACACAGAGACAGAGAGACATAAACTCACTTCCCACCATGAAAATAAAAGACACACAAACGAATATCCTCACTCACTCTTTGCTTATGTGTGTGTCTGTGTATTGGTGTATGGAGACGTGTTTGTGTATATATGGAGATTTGGGCGTTCGTGTGTGTGTGTGTATGTGTGTGTGCGCGCGTGTGTGTGTATGTATGGAGATTTGTGTGTGTATAGATATGGAGATTTGTGTGTATGTGCGTGTGGTCATTTCTGTGGGTATGGAGATCTGTGTGTCTGGAGATTTGTGTGTATGTCTGTATGCGCGTGTGTGTGTGTGTGAGTGGAGATTTGTTTTTAAATTTCCTTTTGATGAAGCCAATGTCATTCACTTTTACCTCATCATATTATTTTTTATTAACAAAGTGACGTTTATGGTCTTATCAAGTTAAAAGACTGTTTCTCGGGACCGATCATCGAAGTTAAGCAACGTTGAATCTGGATTGGGCGTATGGGTTGGTGATGGATCTAGACATGCAATGAGAAATTGAATTATAGTCGGGTCTGTTATACTCACTTACCTGCAAATACCCTTGGGAAAGATATGAATTCATCTCTTTTCCTCCCAACTATGGGTTAAATAGTAACACTTATATCAGAAAATACTTATTACCGCAAAAGAATCCTTACAATACCAAAATATGTTTCTGTTATAAATAACCTCAAAAATGTTGTCAAAAACATATCAAATTAACTGAAAGAAGAAAGCAAAATATAGTTTATGCAATCATTGTTTATAATTTGGTCCACTCTTCAAATATAAAGAAAACACTTTTAAAATATTGACTGAAAAGACAGGCAAGCCTATTTTGCCTTTGTTGGAGACAAGAGCAATAGGTGTCAGAAAATGAAAAATCCGGAGTTGTAATCAAAAGTGTCGCAAATGAGTCTCGCATGTCAAAAGTCAAATATGTCAATGGGTGTAGATCAAAATAGGCTCAAAAATCTGAAATCCAAACTTACAACGTACAACTACATTATTCCTTCAAGAAGAACTAAGATCCTCACTCATCCAACGTAGTATTCGGGTTAAGAAAAACTGTGATTGGTCGTAAATGGTAGGGAAGCACAAACAATTACCATATTTCGAGGTAAACATTTTTTCTGATATCATTTGTCTGAGCAGCATCATTTTCATATTTAAACTGTTTACCAAATGTTGATTTACAATCCACCATATCTCATTCTCATCTTAATATTTTCAATTTCGCCAAAATTCTATTTTTACAGAAATATTTTGAATGATTCGTACCTTGTAATGTGATGTTCTTAGAATCTACAGGAAGACCATTTTCAGCTACAATCCCACGACACACGTACCATTTAAAATCATGGCAGTTAACTTGAGAAAGGACAAATGTCACAGAACATCTTTGCGCAGATGCGTCAGAGACAAAAGTATCGGAACTTATTTCAAACATTTATTTCGACAGGGAACGCAATTTTTTTAAAAGGTAAGACTTTTCTCATTTGTCACCACAACCATTTACCAACAGGAGAACCTTTCAATTTTCTCAATTATGAACTTCTTCAAACAAAACGAAAATTTGCAATTGACTGTTTTGTTTTTGTTTTTGTTTTGATTTTTTTTTGGGGTGTTGGTTTTTTTTTTGTATTTTTTAGTTCAAACCTGAAATCAAAATCCTTTAATATACAATTAATTCTATGATCTTTTCTTGTAAGAGTCACACCCAAAGACTTATAAACTAATTTGATAATGTTAAAAGCAAATTGGTGAAATATTTAATTGCATCTTACGCAATAGAAATTCAAACAATTATATTTGAATATAAAATCCTTTATACATATAACTAACATTTATTGATCAGTTATTTAAGAGCAGGTCCCTATTTAAACATATGTTGAGACGAAAAGAATTAATTACACACCTATTTATATCCAGTACCCAGTACTTCTTGATAACTATCCTGAAACATTCTAATAATACAGAATTATAGTGGACATTAAATCCAGTGTTCAGAGTATCTTGAGAAAAAATTATCATGTCAATATTCTCGCATCTTCTATGTCTCATGTCCCTTCAGGATATTAACGACCATGGGTTTCCCCAATTTTTGTCCTTTGTAGATCTTAAATTTTGTCTTGTTCTGCTAAACCTTGCTCCACCATCAATTTACTGATGCTCGCTAGGTCAGCTATGTGTTGCTTTCCTCTGTTCTTCTTGCCTTCAATCTGTCCTATGAGTACCAACAATTTCAAGGACTTTTTCCTATTATGTTCCCTAGAAATTTCAATTAAATCTTCTCGATGTGAAATATAAGTGTCATTTTTTATTCCATTTTTTCTAAAAGTTCTTCGTTGCTCACATGTTTGGTCCATGGTATTTTCAGCATCCTTCTGTTGACACAACATTTTTATTGCTTCAAGTGCCTTCTTCATCTGTAAGGACATTGACTACTATTCACTGCCAAGTAGAACTGATATTACTTAACAAACCAGTACTCATTTCTTTGTTTCTGACGAATTTTTTTCTGTTTCTTAATACTTTACTTAGGTTTTGAAAGGCATTTTGTGCTATCTACAGTTATGTTGAAAAGTAAAACTAAGATGGACACGCATGCTATTAATTATCTGAACATAAACTGATTTGGATTGATCGAATAATAATCCATGATGTAAATGTGATTTTGAGCCAATGAATGAATTATCATCATTTCAATTCTTGTCTCCATAGAAATCTGGAACATAAAACAAGCAATGGCAATAAAACATCATCCAAAAATGGTATGTAAAAGTTTACAAGGCAGAATCGGAACCTACATTTAACAGGTTGTTGGGTAAAAGGAGCTGCAGTTGTGTACTTTTCTGGTAGGAAAGCATTGACAAAATTACAAATAATATTAAAACAAAAATAAACCACAAATATATACCAACATCGCTAGCGACTAATTTGTTATAATTTACAGCTGAGTAAGCCCCTGACACTTTAGCACATCGGATCAGGTGGAGTAACAATGAAGATAAAGAAAAAAAAACTATCGAAAAGTAAGAGACATTTTTAGCTGTATTAAGTAAAGGCATTTTTTAAATCATTCAGATCCCATAAATTTACAATTTGTGAATTTTTGTTTTTCTCTTAAATCTAAAAGTAACATCATGAAGTATGAAAGCGCAGGTTGTAGGAATTAGTGAATATAGTCCATGTTCACTAAGTATAGAGGAACACGGCAATAACTACAATTATAGTTACTCAGCGTCAAATACAGTACATGCAAACAGTAGAGACAAAGACAGAAATAGCGAGAAAGAGAGAGAGAGAGGTAAGTTCCAAACAGTTTGAGAGGAATGTCAAAGATGGACAGTGCTTGAAATCACAGATTGATATGCACACATTTGCACAGAGAGAGAGAGAGAGAGAGAGAGAGAAGGAGAGAGAGAGAGAGAAGACGCTGACAAGATAGAGGAAGAGAGAAGACACAAGAAAAACAAATGTACAAATAATAAACAGTAAATTATCTTTTTTTAATCATTTCACTCCAAGCAAGGTAGTAAAGCCACTAAGACATAAGGGCTTATTAAGTTTGAAAGAATAAGAAATAGGAATTCATACGGTTCTTTGATGAAGAAACACATTTATGATTTTTAGAATAAAGTATAAAGTTTTCTAATTTAAAGTAAAATCTTGAAATTCTTTTATGAAGAATTTTTATCCTATTAATTTTTGTGGAGACTAATATCCTCATCTTTATACTTATTCTACTTTCAGACACTGTTCTTCAGCAAGAATATATTTTTGAGTCAGCCAGGATTTTGTTTGTTTTATAAAACAGTCTCAGAAATTTGATTGTTTCAGTAAAATACCGAAAGGCAATCAAAGATGATGGATTTTAATTCTCAATAAGAAACTCAAACTATTTATTAAAACAAAAAGTCTATTTAAAACAAGCATTCATTTCTCTGATTTTCCGTATTCCTGTTAACAGAACAGGTTTACAAGAAATGAAGTGGAATATCTGTTAACCTGTTCGTTTTTCATGTACTTAACTGTTTATATTCTTAAAAACTATACAAAATTAGATTATAAAACTTCAACAGAGGTTATATTTAGACAGAACCGAAATATTAGGAACAAAATGAAGACAAATAAAAAGTTACATGTCAATGCATTTGTTCACCACAATGACAGACTGTATTAAGCATTTCAAGTTTTGTCTTATCTCCTCAGCAGATATGACTTTATTTGCACTAATTGGCCCTTCATAGTTTTATAAGAGATTTACCCCTTAATAGACATTGTCCCATTTGGGGGGCTGACAGGCATTAATGGTCTAACAGCAAATTTTGATTATTTTAATTAATACTTCCAATAAATATTTTCAGAACTAGCAATTATATATCATCTCTGACCAGCAATAGTGTTCCCCCATTCACCACAACATAATAAATAAAGTTTAAATTATTACATATGGTCAAATCAATTAGCTAAACTTATTTTTAATATGCTAGTAATCTTACAAGCAAGAAAAATGAGAATTTGAACAAAATGATTAACTTAGAATAAAAATAAAACTGTTTTGGAAAGAGAATAAATCAAAGGCTCAGATTTTTCTTGTATAATTTCGATTAAAATGTAAATTTTGAATTTAAAAACCGCTTTCAATTTACAAAAAAGTTCTAATAGTCCTTTGTCCACTTTCTATTCGGCACCAGAGAGCAACTAACCGTCTATCAGTCTCGCTTACATTGTAATTAAGTGAGCTTGAAATGCTATGGCTACATTCATTTTGGACAATTATTTTTACTGGTAAAACCTGAAACTGGCTGGATGATGTGATAGTTTTTCGTTTCCATTGCACAGAAAAAGGGCCTTATTTCCAGACAGTTCCTCTGCACACAAATGAGGATATCTGAGAGAAAACAAGATCAGATGATAATATTTTCATGAGGCTATCAATTGATTGGGAAAATGAAACAAGAAAATTAATTTTAAATTGTTTTAGTAAGAAAAACTTATAGGGCCAATAGAACTATATTTCCACCCAGACTTTTTCTTCAACTAACTTGCAACCGTTAACATGTAATATTTACAAAGGTTTGTCTTAGCAGAATCATTTTGATATTCACACTCTCAAATATTGATTTACATTTCTACATATTTCATTGTCATCTTATTACTTCCGCTTTCACTTTATTATTGTACCAAAATTAAATTGTTACAATTTCTCGAAGAGAAAAGCTTACATTGATACTTACTTTGCAATGTTGTGTTTGTAGATTCCACAAGAATACCATTAGTTGATCCACTCTCACAGCAAACGTACCATGTAAAATAAGGACGGTTGGCTCGAGAGAAGACAAATGTCAAAGAACCTCCTTTAAATGTTGTAGAATTTCCGACCTCAAGAAGGACGGAACTACTTGAAGACATTTTAAACGTTTGCCACGCAAGTGAGTACCATGCGATAAGATCCGTATTCCCATTGAGCAATGTCATTATTGTCAATTGATCATCTGTTTGAAATTCACACGTTATTCTCATATTCCTTGAGTTCAAAGTGCTGTATGAAGACAAGTTCAATGTTACAGATTGACCTATGAGAAGGAAAAGCGAAAATCATTAAACAGAATACAGAAAAGGAAAATACATGAACATACGGAAATTTTTTGTTCAAATTTAAATTTAATTTAAATCAAAAGGAAAACATTTGATGGTGGGGTGCAAAAACTGCATGATCTGACCCCTTTCATATGTATTTGTTGTAATACTTGATTGAATGAATTGATGAGCTGATTTCAGTATTGATATGACAGTTCAATTGTCGCAACAAATATGTATTGTAAGGCACTACCCTCGGATTGGTGATTTCTTGCTCAATTTGACGTCCATATTATCTCATTTTGATCTGGCCGATGTGAACTCCATTTTCTGGCTTTCTCCTTCTATATTTTAGACAGGAGTCATTTCATTGTTCAAATTTAAATTTAATTTAAATCAAAGGGGAAAAAATCAGTGGCAGGTGTCCCCCTCCCCTTCCGTGACCCCCTTTGATCAAAATGAAATATACTTATCCAAATATCGCGGGTAAGGATGTTTCAGAATATATATGGTTATCGGGGTCTATCTCCAAAACCTTAGGATGAATTCGATAACAAACTGTCAGACAGAGGCTATAACTTTTTATATATAGATTACTTTATTCAGAAATAAGAAAATTTGACATCATATTTGTTTTTGTTTTTTCAATCTAAAATAAAAAAAAATAGTGTACAGTTTTATGTCACCTTCTTTTGTGAGTCACATTTGGAACGTTATAAACTATAAGGCAAATATTAAATGCAAATTTACTAATTATTTAATTGCAGCTTGTGAAATAGAACTTCAGAAAATTGTATTTGAATGTAAATTGTTTTATACATGAAACTGAAATACATTAATGAAGAGTTATTTACAGGCAGGTCTTTATTTCAAAGTATGTCGACATGCAAAGGATCGATCACTTACACCCAGACACCCAGCCATTTCTTGTTAACTATTCTGAAGCATTCTAATAGTAGAAAATAATAGTGGACATTAACTCAAGAATACATGTCTTCTCCAAAAGTATTGTTTATCTTGACTATGTTTCCACATAAGCAAACTTATTTTTCTCATCAGAACAATTACCAGGGAAATATTTATAGAAAAGTTACAGGGAATCTACGTCACATTGGTGGAGAAATGACTGAAGCCGAAATGCCAAATAAGGACTAATGAACTTTAAAATTCTTCTTTGCATTTTATCAAGAATCTCTAAATATAAGCAGGAGCACCAGTACCTAAAATTGAAATTCAGACAATTGTATTTGAATGTAAAATGCTTTATACATAAAATTAGAATATATTGATGAAGAATTATTTACTGTCAGGTCTTTATTTCAAATTATTTCGGGATTCAAAGGATCAATCACCTACCAATTTACATCCAGACCCCCTACTTCTTGATAACTGTTCTGAAACATTCTAGCAGTAGATAATGAGCGTGGACATTAACTCAAGGACTCATTTCTTCAAAAATATTTATCGATGTTCTCACATAAGTAAACAGAGGTATATTACTTTGATGGAGAAGTAACTGAATGGTTTCTACTATTAGAGAGAACTTATATCCCGATTACGCAGGCGGAATTGACACTATTCCTGCAACGGTCTTAAGGAAATAGGTTCCTGGGCCGTTTTCTTTTCTCTCCAATCTCCAATAACTTGTTGCTTTTTACGTTCCAGCTTCCTGGAAACCATCTTCTGTAGTCCTTTTTTTTAAGAATTCCGATCCTTTTGATCCCTCTAGCTATCGTCATATAAATGTTTTACCTAATTTTGGTAAAGTTCTGGAGGTTCTAATCAACATATTAACACGGCTTTCCTTCGTATAAGCAAATGGCTTTCGTTTCAGCAAGCCAAACGCAGACGTGTTAACGCTTAAAGACAGTAATTTTCCTAATTGTCTCCTATGAACTAGAACAAAATGCTTGGTTCTCATTCGTAGAATTGGTAGAAAACTTTTAGGCAATTATAGAGCAGTTAACTACGATAAAACAGAAAAAAGTTGTAAAGGGCTACAAAGTGTCAGGTTGCAATCTAAGCTCTAAAAGCGCAAAAACGTATTATTTGAATAGCCATCTTGACCAAATTCCAAGTAATTTAGGTGATGCAAGTGACGAAAAGTGGGGTGAGATTCCACACATATATCAAAATTCTGGAGGAACAGCCGCTGGGATTCCCAAATGATAGCATATTACTGCAGGTGCTTGAAAAGAGAGTTGCCACCAACAAGGAAATACTCTAGAAAAGTTTGTAAAATAAATATCACAGGTAAAGCTTTATATCTGTTTGCTTATTATTTAAGTCATTTCTATCGTTATAATATATTTATACGGTAGTTTTTGCAACTTGATTTTCATGAAACTTAAAAAGAATTTAACACATTAATTAATTTTTAGCCCTAATATAAAAAATGTGGAAAATGGCAGTTCAGCGCACCGAAATTACCAAGAATCAATCGTCCAGATACGATTCAATAAAATATGTGTTACCCAGTGTTATTATTATTATTAGCAGTACAGTAAAATGGTGTTGTTTTTCCTTTACAAAACTTTAAAAGACGATCTAAACGCTACAGTCAGGTTTTGAAACAATTGATGGACAGAAACAAATTGATGAGTTCATGAAGAAGAAAGAATGTCTAAAAAACATAGGAGGGAATAAGACAGAAATTTAAAGAATAATGTGAATTTATAGTTTAACTTTATCCTGGGCGTTAACAATAAACATACTAATTGGATAAAACAGTTTACTTGTTAAATTATTGAACTAAAAATAGGATCTGTTTAAAATACTGAAATTCTGCTCAATGGCAGGTGGGAAGTGAGCACATGTAGACTATTCAGTGTCTATATGAACAAATAAAATTTTAGACTACCATTCATCCATGATTTGAATATTGCTGCCACATCTGGTCTGTTGCTTCTGCTATATATTTATTTTATTGATAAAATAAACTAAGAACCTGTAATGTTATTGGACCAGAATGTAGCCGTAAGTGCAATGCTTACAGTTTATTCTCTCGTTCGTGGAACTCGATACTTGCTACTTTTTTTACAGATAACTTTGATCTTTAAAAATTTAAATGCAATGTCAATCGTTATCTCTGTCTTCTTAAATCCTGTTTGTTTATTGTTGATTATATTATCACGCATTCAGTAACACCTTGCGTCTTTTACCGATGAAAGGTTCTGCTCTCAGTCGAACTCTTCTAAGCTGTCCTGTGCCTCTCTTAACGGCTTTGGGTAACATTTTCTGCAGACTACACTTACCAATTCGCTTTTTCTTTGTGTGTTCCAGTTCCTTTTTGGCCTGTTCCATTGCAAGAGCTTCATTTCATTGCATTTCGTAGCCGTTTATTTCAACATTTATTATTTACGTGTTATATTTTACTTATATAATCATCACGAACATCACTTACAGTAGGAGAGAAAAAAATTCATTCATTCATTCATTGTAATGAAAATTCGAAATCTAGTTTGTCTTAATGTAACTTTATCGACCATAACTAAAATGTCTTTCTGTTTTGGCTAAGACAGCGTGCCTTATTTATATAAATCATAAGACAGGGGAGGTAATCAGGTTGTCTTACCACATCCACTTTTAGTAAGCAGAGGTAAAGTCATATTTCCTCCTCTGCATATCAAACTAGGCTTCGTTAAACAATATGTAAAAGATACGAACGACGAGTTTTTCAAATCCATGACTTCAAAAAGTTTAATTTATGAAAAAATCAAGGTGGTAATTTTTCGATGGTTCACAATTAAGAACATTAATTAAAGACAGTAATTTTCCTAATGTCATCAATAAACGCGAACAAAATGCCTTGTTCTCATTTGTGGACTTGATATAAAACTTTTAGGCAATTATAGAGCAGATAACTACGAATAAATAATAACAAATTGTAAGGGTCTACACAGTTTTAGGTTGCAATATAAGCGCAAGAATGCATTTTTTGAATAGCCATTTTGACCAATTTCTAAGTAATTTAGGTGATGTAAGTGGCGAATATGGAGAGAGATTCCACAAAGTTATCAAATTATTGAAGACCAGCACCAAGGCCGGTGGTATTCCCAACTTTATTTAAGTCATTTATATATGTTATAATGTAATTTTACTGTATTTTGTACTGCTTGTATCCAGAAAACTTGAAAAGAAAAATGTAATACATGACTTAATTTTTAATCCTAATTTGAAAATTCTGGAAAATGGCTGTTCAGCGAACCCAAATTACCAAGAATCAAACGTCAGATACCATTCAATAAAATACGTGTTCCTCAGTGTTATTATTACAAGTGTAGTAAAACAGAACCTTAAAAGTTGATTTAAACGCTATAGGTAGGTTTATGAGCAAGTGAGTGACAAAAACACATTGATGAGCCTATAGCGGTAAAGAATGTATAAAATGGTGGGAGGAAAGGAGACAGAAATTTGAAGAGTAAAACCAGTTTACTTATTAATTATTGAGTTCAAAATAGGATATGAATATTTATATTGGTTTAAAATACAGAAATTCTGCTCAATGCCAGGTGGGAAGAGGGTATATGTATACTACTCAGTGTCTATTAACAATTAAATTTTCGGTTACCCTTCGTCCATACTTTGAATATTGCTGCCACATCTAGTCTGCTGCTTCTATATATTTAGAAATCCTTGATAAAATAAAATAAGATCCTGCAATGTTATTGGCCCAGACCTGACATCTCAGCTTCAGTGACATTCCCACGGCCGTAACTTAGCTTCTCTGTGCCTTTTCTATAAATACTTTCATTGTAATTGTTCTGATGAACTTTCCTCTATGACTTAGGTATTATGAATTTAAGCTCAATACAAGATTGACGGTCAGGTCTCATCATTTTAGTTGAAATGGCTGACTGTAGACGTAAGTTCTATGCTAACAGTTTCTTCACTCGTTTGTGGAAATCTATTCTTTCCAATTAACTTTGATTTTCAAAAATTTAAATGCAATGTCAATCGCTATCTTCAGTCAAATCCTGTTCGTTTACTTTTCTCTCTCTTTAATAAAGTTTTTCTTATATTCTCACTCATTCAGTAACACCTTGCGTTTATCGGGTGTGATGACTTTTACGTACGTAAGGTTCTGCTCTGAGTCCGAACTCTCTTCTAGCCTGTACTGTGCTTTTCTTAACAGCTTCGGGTGAATTTTCTGTAGCCTGACACTGACCAATTCGCTTGTTCTTTGTGTATTCCAGTTCCTTTCTGGCAATTTCCATTGCAGAGATCTGCTTCATTTCATTTCCAGAACACCACGCATATAATTTTGTGTTTGAGATAAAACCCCCTTGTTACTAGAACTTGTCTTGATAAGACACAACTGGATCAGATTTATCATTTGTCAAATTCATTTCTGAGATCTTGTCCTTTCTCTAAAAATTAACTAAAAGTTAATTAAATCTTCGGTGGTCAATAAATTATCAGTTTGTCTATAAATCTTTCAAAACCTTAAATAACCACTTACCTTCTTCTTAAAAACGCATTTCTGTGATATTTAAAAGTACAAGTATGTTGCTATCTTAGATTTGGATTTTAAGAATAATTCTATTTTTTCGGGTAGATATTGAATGAACAATCTGTTTGAGAATAATTATTTCCTTTACCGATACATGTCATACTATTTAACCAATAACTGGGTGGAGGAGGAGGAGGAGGAGATGTATTCATACCTTCCCAAGTGTATGCGCGATAGTGAATGCAAGGAAATTTAACAGATTTCCTAATTGGCTCTAGGATTTCTCATTCTGAGCCGTCATCCACATCACTCACACATTTAGCTTTGGCTTAAAAAGCCGCTGAATGTTGACTTCAATGTGCTTTTATATATTTACATACGCCATATCCCTCTAAGATTGGTTGATTAATTGATTTGTTTATTTAACGGCATAGCATCTCCCTACACATCTAAGAAACCATGTGTCCATTTTATCTTTTTGAGTTTGTTTCAAAGATTCATGGTTTCTGTTTCGAAAGTGTTTTCCTTATTTGTGTGTTTGTTTGAAATGTAAGTTGTCTTACCCTTTCGTACATTGTGAAAACTGGTGAAAAAATACCCATATACGATCTGGTGAAAGTGTGTGACCAGTTAATTACTGGGCTTGAAAAACGGAAATATATCAGTGGGCAGGAAATTATGCCAATCTATTCATTTAAAGTGAGATTGCTAATCGAGAAACCGAAGTTGATGAAGCAGACGACACTCACAGAAATGTTTACAAAGGTTCGGCAAAGGAGCGCAACGTCATTATGGGAGTCAACATCAAACACGCATGTCCTTCGGAGCAATGACCATCAAGACACCAATGATCCTCCTCTTGCAACATAGTCTTTGACACAAGAGACTTTAGAGATATAACAGATTGTGGAAGGTCACAAGAGGACGACGACTTCAGGGAGAGTCAAATGATATTTAAGTTTTAGCTCATGTACTTTGTAGAAATAAATTTTCCTACGGCATGTTTTTATATAGAATATTATTATCCCAAGACCACATTATTTATTTGTGTATTTTTCTATAAAGTGTAGTGTCATTTTGTGCCAGGAATATCTTCGTTTTTTTTTAATTTTCTTTTTTTTGTCCTGATCATAGGTATTCTATAATCCTTAAAGGTGGTAAAGCCGAAATACATTTGGACTCAAAGATTTCGGATTAAGGATATTGGGTATGTATTGGTTATAGGTTTCTAGTTTTCCCAATGTATTTCCTAAATAAAGGGTTCACATCAATATGAAACGTGGACATTTTTTCGGCGTTCAATTACAACATGCCTAGTTTGAGAGAAACTACGTAAGCGTCTATTGAGCCGTTTCACTTGCATTCTCATTTCCTCAACTGCATTTTTCAGATTCGCCATTTCTTCTTTTTGTTGACTTGGCTCGTGTAAGGAATTAATTAATCTGTTTTTATAACTGGGATTTTATCACTGCCTGCCTCCGTTGCTGTTGGTACAAGGCATTTAGTTCGTATTGAATAGTGATTTGTCCAACTACAGTTTGCTTCAGACATGAAGTTGGAACGTAATATTCTCTTCATGTGTTGGAACAGAGGACGAAAAATGGGTCATTGAAATCCGAAAGTGCATTGGTATAGCGAAATAGTATTAAGAAACAGAAACATAAATCATTATCAAAGTGTACTGAACTGTTTTATAATATCAGTCCTATCTGCCATATAGGATATGGCAGATAATACTCACAAATGAGTAAGAGACTTGAAGCTTACTTTAAATGATTCCCCACTTTGGATGCTGTATCCAGTAGGCAGATGCTCACTCGAGGGAAGTAAAAGGTGTTATTCGCTGAAAAGTTTGCTTTGTTCTGAAACAATTTTTCGTACGATTTCAACTTTGAAACGCGATATATTTTCTGTAAGCTTTCATTTTCGCACCGACGTTGTGTGGTTGATGTGGAGCAACTAACATTTTCTCAAGTAAACAAACATTTTTGTTAGAAATAAGAACAAATATTTACACAAAAATCAGGAATATAGGAAGAAGACACAAGAAAAAAGAAAATACTGTACACACAATTAAACACTGCACGATTTATATATTGATTTATTATTTAACCAGTACAATATCCAAGAGACACTCAAAGTAGAGGATTAGTAAATTAGGTGCGATAAAAAGTAAGAATTAAAAATAATGAGGATAAAAAAGATAGGTAATAATTGACACTTGACTTAAAGAGAATACGTTGTTAGTATTTCCTAAAGTATTACATATTGTGCGTTCCGGTCTTCCTAAGAGAAAAAGAGATAGCAGTTTCAGAGAGAGAGAGAGAGAGAGAGAGAGAGAGAGTGGGTGACTGAGAGAGAGAGTGAGAGAGAGAAGGTGTGAAAGAGAGACAAATAGAGAAGACAAGAGAAAAGGAGAAATAACACTGTGCAAAATATAAACAGTACATGATTTATATATTCATTGTAGAGTGTGTGAATAAATCATCTTCAAAAATTAATGATAAATCAAATCTATGATTTTCAAGAATAAAGTACAAAGTTTTCTGTTTTAAAAGAAAATCTTGAAATTCTGTTCTGAAGAATTGTTATGCTTTTAATTAGTGTGGTGACTAATATCCTTATCTTTGTTTTTATTCTAGTTTCAGCCACTGTTCTTTTGTCTGTGTGTCGCTGAAAGTTGTACGAGTGGAAGAGCTAGAAAAGACAGAGAGAGTGTCAAAGAGAAAAGACAGAGAGAGAGAAAAAAAGAGAGAGATAGAGAGATAGTGACAGAGAGAAGAGAAAGATAGAAAAAAGAGAGAGAGACAAAAATAGCGAGAGAAAAATAAGAAAGAGAGAGAAGTTACAGATAGACGGAGAGAGAGAGAAGTCACTTTGAGAGAATGAAGAGAGAGAGAGAGAGAGAGAGAGAGATAGAGGATAAAAGAGATAGAAAAATAGTGATAAAAATAGAGAGAGAAATACACAGTCAGGTGAGAAAGAAAATAGTGTAGGATTGAAGAATATCCAGATGATACGATTCCAAAATTTTGGCTAAATTATCACAAATGTTCAATCAGCAACAAAGCTATCATGTTACAGTTATTTCAACAAATACTCAATATCCGGATGACAAGAGCCATTCAAAGTTGGCTACTGAATGATGTGTGATAGAATAGTGGGAAGTAGGAAGTAAAGATGATGAGAATAAAGAAGATAAATTGACTCTTGATTTGAATGTTGTACTGTTTCAACCTTGTGGGCATCATCCTCTTGCCGTTATCTGAAACGATAAAAATATATAATCAAAAACAGAATTTATAAAACATAGAAAACAACATTAAAGTTCTATATGTGGTCAATTGAATTAGCTAAACCTATTTATTAATATTCTCTCGTAAAAAATAAAAAAGAGAATTTGGGAATAATGGCTGAATTAAAAGCTATTTTAAAAATAAAGATCTTTTGAAAGAGAGTAAATCAATGGTTAAGATTTTCTTTCTATACTTTAGATTAAAATTTAAATATTGAATTGAAATTTGCAAACAGCTGCACATGCAACACGCACACATACACACATTTTATCTTAAACATTAAATATATTTTTCTTCTGATTGATATTTTTTTTTACTACCGGAAATAAAAAAAAAAAAAAGGTTACACACTCCTGCATTCAGCGGTTGGGTTTAACACCCGAACAACCCTGAACATGGCTTCCGTTTACGGACAGGTATGTCATTTGAGTGCAATGTTTATTCCAGCATAATATCATATGCCTCTACAATTTGTTTTACAAATTCATAATTTTATAATTTTACCAAAGTTGTGAATTTCTCTTTTTTCATGAATTAGTTCTTTTACTCATTATTTTTTTTAAGTTCATACAAATTACTAAACAATTATGTTTTATTACACGTTTCTTAAGTCCCTCTCCATAAATGGAAACATTTTCCTAAATTTCTTTCTATTTTCTCCAAAGTTAACACATAATTGGTAACTTCAGTACTTTTGTCCTTGGACATCTTATGTTTCTTCAGCATAGTTAAAAACCATTCATCCCCATTTTCTTCTTTAAATGTTAAATTCCTAAAGACAAAAAGATAGTTTTTCTCTACATCTGGCGGAAATTGTTTTTCTTTACATCGTGTTCTTACATGCCTAGTGCAAGTAGCTTTTTAGCTGTTAAGCAGCGATATAACACAGTTTTAGAAAAAAAAATGTTAAAGTTCTGTTTATTTCTTCCTGAACGTAGTAATGAAAATTCCATTGGAATAGTAGATCCAACTGATTAAATACTATTTTCTTTATATTGTTATAACGGAGAAACGAAGGCTTGCCGCCGCGGAGAAGCGTGCTCGATGGAAAGATAACGTGGCTACATCGGGGGAGAGCGTCTTCACATGTATTCGTTGCAATCGAGTCGGTCACTCTCCTGACGGCCTGTAGAGCCATAACAGATTCTGTTCCCGCCCTCAGCAGCTGAAGCATAACTCTTCGGCCGCAGATCCAAGGTCTCTCGTGACCTATTTGTTCTCGGCAACAAATGTAACGTTTCGTCGCAGTCAGCTCGGGGTGGATCCTGGTTTATTCAATGCAGTGATCTTTTCAAGCTAAGTTATTCATCATTATCTAGTTTTCTTTGATATTCCAAGTCGCCATTATTATTATATATTTACCAGCAACCTAAATAGTGTTACAGCGTGCTTATTCTTGTTTTTATATAAGCTGCAGTGAAACAAAGTTCTCGGTGTCTCTTGGGTAGGTCCGTTTTTTTTTTACGTAAAGTAAGGATAAGCTTCGTTGTAATTGACGAACTCAAGTCAGCCTTGCGCTGAGTTGAAACGACCAAAGTTAAACCTATCTGACTTCATCGGTCAAGTTTCTGCAAATCACTTGCAAAAACATTATGCATTGGAATGTGAAAGATAATTTCTTATTTTGGTCTTTAAAAGTTTGACGTTCCTGGTCAAGTCTTTGATATGCCTTGTTTCTTCTAATGGTCGAGGATGAAAGTCAGCCTTGCGCTGGGACGTCATTATATTTCATAAATCGTTGGAACGATAAAATAAATATATATATATATATTAAATAATTTAAAATTTAGAATTCTTGTATCTCTCGTTCGATCAAATATGGTGATACGTAAATGGATATTAAATTAATGATGTTTAACTAAAATATGGTTTTTCAAAAATATATTTTTACATCTTATCTATCTATCTATCTATCTATCTATCTATCTATCTATCTATCTACATTTATTTATTTGTCGATATTTAGTTTATCACCGACACGATATTATTAATGGAGAACAGGACTAACAATTGTATGGAATACTTTTACAGAAAACGAATCCTTATTATAAAGTTTTCCCACGATTGTTATCTTGTGTTTATCTCTGGAGTTCATGTGATTCTAACTATTCACAATAGTCCGTCAATTGTTCAGTTCTTGTTCGCTATGATGTTTTTTTATTCTGATTGGAATTATAATAATTATTATTTTATTTATCATTGGGAATGAATTTTTAGCAGTATTGACGGCTTGAATCAACCCGTACATTTTTTTTTACTTTACAAATGTGTAAGCAAAAAAAAAACAACCAAGCGAAACAGCACAAAAACTGTTTTTATAACAAACAATCTTCATTTTATATATGTGTGTGTGTGTGATGGCGTTTCATGGCGTTTGTCCGTAAAGGACGAAACGCAAGTTCTTTACTCCATCTTGTATGACAGAGAAGGCAAAGAGATGCCAAAAGAGGAAGAACGAACTTGTGTCAAAGTATTTATAAACAACGTGGTCACGTGATCGAAAGGCATATACAGATTTCTGGCGGAATTGTATTCCCAGATATTTACATTTTTGTACTTGTCTGATTTTCGTATATTTAATTTGAATTTTGAGCCGTTGCTTTTGCTGACAACCATGTTACACCCTGCCAGCACCTCCTAAGTAATAGACTATTCCGTTTTGATAGACATGAATAAATGGAAAAAAATATATCAGGGACGATACTTAGTTTCAGTGAGTAAATGAAAGAAAGAAATGTTTATCGTCTGTTTCAGTGTAATAGAAAAAGTGATCAGATTCAAATACTTTTACTTATTAATTTGCCTGGGCATTTTTTTATTGTTTTGCAATATTTTGTTTAAAGTTGTTAAAAATATTTAACGAAGCATTTGGATTTCATTTTTGTCCAGAACTTGTTTAATCATTCACCATTAACTTAAGAATTAAGATTCATCAGAAAATTCAAACGAGAGGACCGTGAAAAAAGGAAAAATTTCGAAGGAGAATGGTCCTCACAAGTGTTATGATAATAATAAAATGAAGACAAAAATCAAACCCGTCGATAAAGTCTCAAATTTCCTTCACATTTGGTTTATAAGTGTTAGTTCCAGTCCAGAGGAATGATTGCAGAATTATCCCGAAATTTATAAACAAACCGTACAGGTGCATGCTGGGAATTCTTTCGGACACATAAAATGGGTTGCCTTTCTCTCATATTTTTCTTCTTTCTTGTCTTGGAGAAAGAATGCTACATGCATTGCTTAATAATATTTTGCCTGGTTATTTTTCTTTCTTTTGTTATTGTTTTTGGAAATATTTTTTAGTTCCATTTGCTGGACATTTTTTCCAATTCTAGTTAAACATGGCCTTTTATTCTACACGTTGTACCAATCAGTTCCCCCTGGAATCTATATTGGAATCAAAGACAGCATTCTAATCACCAACTAAGACTAGTCGATGAGTGTTTTAATCTGTCAAAAGAAGCTAAACAAATCTTTACTGTCATTGGGGGCATAAACCATAAGAACGTGAAATACATTATTCTTTATAGGAACACCGTGAAATGTATTTTCCCACTGTATCTGTGAAGACATGTGTTTAACTCTTTTCATGTACTGATCTTGAAGAATAGGACTTCAGTTATATGGATTGGCTATGCCAGTTACTCGGCATCTGGTTTGGTCCTGATCTGCAGTTAGAGGCATTTTGGTTGGAAGTTGTGCAGAAGGCCCAGATCAGAGTTAGTCTATGATCCCCTGTATGTGTTAACAAATACAGAGTTAATTCCCTTGAATTAATATCAGTTAGTCAGAAGTGATGACATTATAAACAAACCCATCGGATACAGAAGAGAAATTTAATAACGGCCGGAATAATGCCAGTTCAAGGAGCATGAAGGTACTTTACACCTGTGATTGTTCATACATCATATCTTAATGTACCATTATATAAATATTTTTATCTGTCAATAATGAACATTATAATTCTCATATCTTGAGAAAGGAGTTTAGTAACCCTCATTTCAATTTTCAAACATTTTCTTGAATTTCATTGGTTGTTAAATAAAAATAAGCTTCGAGGAATTTCCATAATAAAACAGTCAAAATTTGTGCAAAAATAGGCTCAACTGACATAAAAAATATTCAACCCTAATTTAAATGTTTCAATAAATCCTATTAGCTAAAAAAATAAAAAATACAACATTGGCCCACGCATTTCTCAGAAAAAATCGCAACAAGCTACCAAGCTGCTGGAGTCGATTTTGTTGTTAAAAAAACTATAAATAGAAACAGCAAACGAATTTTCGTCGCATTTTGAGACTCACACACGCAAAGATAAACACGGGAATTATATGTCAAAATTGCCGCGAAAGAAAAAAACTTTCTTTATGAGAAATTTGAAAAATTCATACAACAAACTTTTTCACTTAATATCTTTCATAGAAAAATCTTTTGTCTAAGTTAAATTCAACCTTTCAATCAAAGGCAGACAACTTTTTAGACATTGAACATTTCTGAAACAGCAAAGAACTTTTTTCTCTATACATTTGCACACATCATTACAAACAAAGAGATTGTAAATTGTGTATATAAAATTTAATTTGTTGTTTCAAACATGTATTTTTTGTTGTGATTGAATATCATTACCATTTGGCCATTTCTTATAATTTATGTTTGTGGATATTGCAAATTTTATTTGCAGCACAATCTTAAATATTTACGCATCCTTCTTAGATCCACTACAGGAGATCTGATGTATTAATAAATCCAGAGTTAATTCCTTTGTAACTATTTATAGTGACCAATTACATTTAAAAAAAAATAGTGCCTTGGGGTACTAGTAGTCAGTCATATCTTAGGTTGCTACAGATAAACACGCAATATGTTTAGTTTCGCCATTCAATATTACTCATAGTTCACACAAAGTTATCTGCCTGAATACCTCACCTCAGTATTTATTTGGAATCTTTTTTTGATTAAGCCAATACCTTTTCAACCCCCATCATTGTATATAAAGGACCATTTGTTTAACTAAGAGAAGAAAACAAAGAATAAGTAGTATCTACTATTACACAAACAAACATACTGAAAAGTCCTCAGCCAAAATAACTTATCTTGTCATGTATATAAAGAGAGAGAGAGAGAGAGAGAGAGAGAGAGAGAGAGATCACTCCCTTTATGCGTATGGATGTATATCACACACAAACACAACATTCTCTGAATGTCCATCAGAATTTATTTTAAAATCATCTTTTAGTTAAGCCAAGATATGTTCCACTCCCTTAAATTATAAAAAGGTACCATTTGTTTAATTAAAAGAAAGAAATTACGACAATTTTCAAATCGAAAGTCTGCAAAGTTAACATGTTGATTGAAAAGTTTTACTATTTTATCTGTTATTAATTTATTCAAAAGAAAAAAAGTTGTCATCACCTTTGGGTTTTTAGTTCAATGTAAAATACTAAAAAAAACCTTAGTTTACAAATCTGTTTTCTTCCTTTTGTTTCGTCATTCACTGTTACTCACTTTTCCAGTAAGATTTTACGTAATACATAATAGTCTCAGAGGATGGTTTCCGAAAGAAAGATTTGATAAAAAATATCTACCCCTTAGGTTAGATGGATTGGCCATGCCAGATACTCAGCATCTGATATTGTCCTGAGCCCGAATTAGAAGAAATTGATTAAAAACATCTACTTCGTGCAAATTTACCGATTCTAAGATCTTCCCAAATGGTCCGAGTTTTGTTCCATTTCTTGTGGTGTGTCAAGATAGTTAAGGTGCATCAGAGTTCTTTTATTTCCACTCGTATATTCAGAAAAATATGGTAATGGCGAATTCTGGAATTACTTAATTAATATGTTTTAGATAAAAAAAAAACAAACAACTTTCTATATTCTGTTGTAATATGAAAATGGATTCCCACTCATCTACACACTCATAAATAATAAAAAAGAAATACTTCACCCTAAGCAGCAAATTTTTCCATTTTATGAACGATGTTTTTTCCACTTTCTATTCGACAAGAGAGATCAAGGTTCCGTCCATCACTCTTGCTTACATTGTAAATCAGTGAGCTTATAATACTACGGTTGCATTCATTTTGACCAGTTATTTTTGTTTCATCCTCATGAAGCTGGCTGAAACCTGTAAGACTTTTTCGATACCATTTCACAGAAAAAGGACCTTCTTTTTGAATGGTTCCTCTGCACGTAAATGTAGATATCTGATTGAGAACTAGCCCAGATGATGTTTTCATGAGGTTAGCAATTGCTGGCAAAGCTGAAAAGGAAACAAAGAAAGTAATTTTAATTGTTTTAATAACAAAATCTTATCCAGTTAATTATATTTCCTCATGTAATATTCCTTTAGCTAATACGAAACATTTAACATGTAATATCTACAAAAATATCATTTGTCTGCGCAGCATCATTTTCATATTTAAACTGATTACCGAATGCTGATTTACATTCCACCATATCTCATTTTCATTTTAATATTTTCACTTTCACCAAAATTCTATTTTTACAGAAATATTTTGAATGATTCGTACCTTGTAATGTGATGTTCTTAGAATCTACAGGAAGACCATTTTCAGCTACAATCCCACGACACACGTACCATGTAAAATCATGACAGTTGACTTGAGAAAGGACAAATGTCACAGAACGTCTTTGCGCAGATGCGTCAGAGTTGACCTCTAGAGAGACAAAAGTATCGGAACTTATTTCAAACTTATCACATGCAACTACGTAATTTGCCTCAGTGGCTTTATTCCCACTGAGCAATGTTATCATCGCAAGGTGATCATCATTTGGAAATTCACATGTTATTCTCATGTTCACTGAGTTCAAAGTCGTGTATGATGGCATTTTCAATGTTACAGCTGCACCTGTAATGGAAAACAAAGAGCAAATCATCAAAGACAAAAAAACACCCCCCCCAAAAAAAAAAAAAAACAGACAGAAGAGAAGAGGACACAGACACAGACACAAATGTACGCAGCGAGACAGACACATACGCATTCAGATACAGACACACACGCATAGATATGCAGAGTCAGACACGCACACAGGCACAGACAGGTAGAGACACATAAAGAAAGAGATACAGACACACAGAGACAGAGAGACATAAACACACATGATGACATGTAAATACTAAGACACACAAACAAATATTTTCACTCTCACTTTGTTTGTATGTGGTTATGTTTGTGTATGGAGATTTGTGCGCGCGTGTGTGTATATATGGAGATTTGTATTTGTGTGTGTGTGTATATATATATATATGGAGATTTGTTTGTGTGTGTATATACATATATATATGGAGATGTGTGTATGTGTATGAAGATTTGTGTATGTGATTTGTATTTGTGTGTGTGTGTATATATATATGGAGATGTGTGTGTGTATATATATATATGGAGATGTGTGTATGTGTATGGAGATTTGTGTGTGTGTTGTGTGTAAATTTGTGATTTTTTTGTGTGTTGGGTGCAAATTGATTTGTGTGCGTGTGGGGAATTGTGTGTGTGTGTGTGTGTGTGTGCGTGTGTGTGTGTGTGTGTTCAGAGATTTGTTTTGAAAGTGTCATTTTTGTTTTCATTTACTCTAAAACTTCGTCGTTGCTAGCATGTTTGGGCCATACTATTCTCAGCATCCTTCTGTAGAGACACATTTCTGTTGCTTCAAGTCTTTTCTTCATCTGTGAGGAGATTGTTTAATATTCACTGCCATACAGAACTGATATTACTTAACAGTTCAGTACTCATTTCTTTGTTTCTGACGAAATTATTCTGTTTCTTAATACTTTGCTTAGCCTTTGAAAGGCATCTTCTGCTATCTTCCAATATGTAGAAAAATAAAACTAAGATGGACACGAATAATATTAATTAATTGAACATAAACAGATTTGGATTGATCAAATAAATAATAATCCATGATGTAAACGTGATTTTGAGCCAATGAATGAACTATCACCATTTGTATTCTTATCTCCATAAAAAACTCGAACATGAAACAAGCATAGACATAAAAAAATCATCTAAAAGGATTACGTAAGAGTTTACAAGGCAAATTTGAAATTACCTTTAACAGGTTGTTGCGTAAAAGGAGCTGCAGTTGTGGACATTTCTGGAAAGGAAGGAATAACAAAATTACAAATAATATTAAAACAAAAATAACCCACAAATATATACCAACATCGCTAGCGACTAATTTTAAGAATTTGCAGCTGAGTAAGCCACTGACACGTTAGTACATCGGACCAAGTGGAGTAACAATTAAAATAAAGAAAAACTATCGAAAAGAAAAATACATTTTTGGCTGCATTAAATAAAGGCATTTTTGAACTCATTCTGATCTCATAAATTTACAAATTGTAAATTTTTGATTTCCTCTCAAATTTAGAAGTAGCAGCATCAAATGTGAAATCACAGGTAATAGGAATTACAGTCATTATCTAAGTATCGATTAACATGGTGATACTACAGTTATAGTTTACTCAGTCACAAATACAGAAAATGTATACAGTAGAGGCAGAGAGAAAGAGAAAGAGAGAGATAGAGAGATAGAGAGAGATAGAGAAAGAAAGAGACGAGAGAAAGTTACAGACAGATTGAGATTAATGTCAGAGATGGAAAGTATTTGAAATCACAGATAGAGATGTGTGACACTATTTAGCTATGGTAATTGGCTAACTAATTAACCATAGAGATTAAAACAGGAAATACTTAAGGCAAAATTAAGAGCTATCCCGAAAGATAGACTGATCGATATTAAAAAATATATATATTTTATTCTATTTACGAAAAAGATACTTTTCACAAAAGACAGTAAACCCGTGGAAAAAGCCATATGTGAGGTTTTGTCAAGTTGATGAATGTCTTGCCGAGGGAGATAAGAAGAAAAGCAAATATTAAGATATCGGCCAGACCACATGGTGGTCATAAAAGTTTTGGATTGAGACGAACGACGATACAGGGCAGGGAGAATCAATATTAATTATCTTTCCAAAATATCATTTTTTTTCCTGAGTGCCGGCGGAGAAGGGCAGTGTGGTGATTATAAAATTTTGGCATTTGTCTCGATACAGGTGGAGAGGATTGTTGTTGTTTACTTTACCAACGTCCGGTTTCAAACGCCGAGACGTTGGATGGCAATATGGCGATTATAAAATTTTGGCAGGAGAGAGAAAATAGAGTGGAGAATTGAGATTTGGCGAGATAAAAGAATTTAATTTCTTAACAAGTCACGGATTCCATTATAAAGCTAACTTCACGAAGGGACCAGATGGCAAACTTTGACAGTGATTGATGGAATTGGTAAAGAGTGCTAAGTGAATTCTGGGTGGACAAATGTGGCAATATGGAATTCGTAAAAATTTTGGCCGATGAGAAAAAGGAGAATTTTGTAAACAAAAATTCTAGATTATAATTTTAAGGAGTCCAGCTTAGACACACCCGCACGGCCGGGATGGCATTGGTCGAGTGGTAGCAATGGTGATAGGTGGAAGTGAATGGATGAGAAGGACGGAGAAGTTATTAACGGTCACTGAAGGGATTGGTATGAGATATCAATGTGAGAGAGGAAGCGTCTAGGAGCATAGCTCTCCGCCCGAAGGAGACCCCCCCCCAACGAAATGGAAGGTGATTAATTTTCCAAGAATGGGAAGTAATCAATTTTCCTGGCCTGACAACAAAGTGATTTCTTGTTAGAAATCGAGATTTACCGAGAAGCCCAGTCCGCGTCTGGCTCCACACCGGGTTTTGGTCGGTACCCATATAAACGAACGTCCTCGGGTCGTTCGACAGTTAGTTCCCATTCAGTGTTCCAGAGAGTTCCAGATCAGAGTGTTGCTTCACAGAAGCTGGCCGATAGATTCCACGACCTCTGACTTCGCCTATACTACCAATAGCAAGTTATACGGACAAATGAAGCCAAACCAACACCTAAGAAATAAATCGGTTGAAATAAGATACCAACTTGCTTGTAATATAGAAGGGTCACATTTCGTAGAAAACGGGCTAGGAGAAAAACACACTCCTGTATATAACAGAAGGATACAGTTAATTTGTTATTTCTTAACATACTTGAACCCCTTGGGTTTTTCTTTTATTTACTTCTTTTATCTTTACGCTTGTGCGATACCACATTCAGTCTGGACTCAGTTTACACTACGGCCCGACACCTGATTGAACTCGTCTACCTAAGATTAAAGTCACAACGTGGGTAGGTTAGACTTGAGATCGAAGCAGTTACTCCAGTAACCAGGCGTTGCAAGTGAGCTGGGAACGATAGAGCGGGTATTGAACCGGTACAGCTGGTGAAACCGTTAACATCGACGACCAGAATTCGACCCTGGACGGGCCAGTGTCCCATATTGGTATCCTGACCTGGGGATTTCGCCGAGTAGCGACGACCACCGATTGACCGGGACACAGGCTTGTGGCAGCGACTATGAGTCAACAACAAAAAGCTGGTGGAAGAAACATTACAACTTCGCGCTGCGACTGGGAGTTGACCACGTGCTTGATGTCACAGATGCAAACATGTGCAGAGAGAGAGAGAGAGAGAGAGAGAGAGAGAGAGAGAAGATAGGAGAGAAGGCAGAGGAGGAGGCAGAGGAGGAGAGAAGACAAAGAAAAACCAATGTACAAATAATAAACAGTACATTACCTTATTTTAATCATTTAATCATTTCACTCCAAGGAAGGTAGTAAAGCCACTAAGACATAAGGAGTTATTAAGTTTGAAAGAATAAAAAAAATGAGTTCACACGTTTCATTTATGAAAAAATAGATATAAGAGTTTTCAGAATAAAGTATAAAGTTTTCTGTTTTAAAATAAAATGTTGAAATTCTGTTCTGAAGAATTGTTATCCTACTAATTATTGTGGTGACTAATATCCTCATCTTTGTTCTTATTCTACTTTCAGACACTGTACTTCAACAAGAATATATTTTTGAGTCAGCCTGGATTTTGTTTGTTTTATAAAAAGCAGCTTCAGAAATTTGATTTTTTTTTGGCAAAATACAGAAAGGCAATCACAAATGATGAATTTTAATTCTCAATTGGAAACTCAAACTATTTATTAAAACAAAAAGTCTATTTAAAACAAGCATTCATTTCTCTGATTTTTTTTATTCTTGTTAATAGAACAGCTTTACAAGAAATGAAGCTGAATATCATTTTGTCTCTTCGCTTTTTATGTTATTAGCTGTTTATATTCATAGAAACTATACAAATGTATATTATAAAACTTCAACAGAAGTCACATTCAGACAGAATCGAAATATTAGAATCGAAATAAAAAGAAATAAAAATTTTCCTGATTTATGATATCAATGCATTTGTTCGCCACAATGATAGACTTTATTAAGCTTTTTGTCTTATCTCCTCAGCAGATATGATCTTATTTTCACTAATAGATCCTTCATAGTTTTATAAGTGATTTTTTCTTTAATAGACATTGTCCCATTTTGAGGGCTGACAGGCATTAATGCTCTAAGAGCATTTATAATTAATACTAGATTTTATGGTGGGTATCTATGCCTCAGTATCAAACAGATGTAGCTCACAATTCAGGCCAAATAATTTTGTAAACACACTACTTGACTTTGCTTCAATGTTACCAGAAATTTCCATACTGAATAGCGCATTTTTCCAATAAATATTTCCAATATAAAACTAGCCATCATATTCATCTTTGACCAGCAATAGTGTTCCACTATTGACCATATGTTATGTCATTACATTTGATTAGGGTTACCGGTGAGGCAATCAGTCTTAGAAGACTATAACTGTTGTCATGGGAGTTCAATCCTCATCAGTGTCTTCTTATGGTAGCAGTGTCCAAGGTAAAAAAAGAACTTATAGAACTGTAATTGCAATGCCAGAGTTAAAAAATGGCTATGACCATTGTTTTATTTTCCAGCATCATTAAGTGCACTCCATTATACTTGCCTTGTACCAGATTAAGCTGAGTAAATAGCACTAAAATTTAGAGTTTAAAAATTGTTGATATTTACAAGCAAATGATAATTATTAAACTCTCAAAAATTTAGCATTCTCATCTTTCACAAAAAAAATATTCAACCAGCTAAAAATCTCAGATATTAGACCTATTTGCTAAAAACAAAGGGAAAAAATCCAAAACGTATTTATAAAAGTATAACAGAAAATAAAGTTTAAATTATTACATATGGTCAAATCAATTAGCTAAACGTATTTTTAATATGCTATCAGTCTTTAAAAACAAAAACAAAAAGAGAATTTGAACAAAATGGATAACTTAGAATAAAAATAAAACTGTTTTGGAAAGAGAATAAATTAAAGGCTCAGATTTTCGTTGTATAATTTTGATTAAAATGTAAATGTTGAAATGAAAGTTGAAAACCGCTTTTCATATACAAAAATATACTTTACCTTGAACAGTGAAGTTCACCATTTTATCATTTCTTTGTCCACTTTCTATTCGGCACCAGAGAACAAGGTTTGGCCCATCTGTCTCACTTACACTGTAATTAATTGAGCTTGAAATGGTACGGCTACATTCATTTTGGTCAATTATTTTTGCTGGGTCAACTTGAAGCTGGCTGGATGATGTGATAGTTCTTCGATGCCATTGCACAGAAAAAGGACCCTCTTTTCGGACAGTTCCTCTGCACACAAAGGAAGATAGTTGATTGACAACAAGGTCAGATGGTGATGTTTTCATGAAGCTATCAATTGATGGTGAAACTAGAAAAATAAAACAAGAAAATTAATTTTAAATTGTTTCAATAAGAAAACCTTGTAGAACCAACAAATCTACATTTCCTTCCAGGATTTTCCTTCAACTAACTTGCAACCGTTAACATGTAATATCTACAAAAGTTTCATTTGTCTTAGCAGAATCATTTTCATATTCAAACTATCAAATATTGATTTACATTTCTAAATATCTCATTGTCATCTTAGTACTTTCACTTTCACTTTATTATTGTGCCAAGATTTTATTGTTAAAATTTCTTTAAGAGAAATGTTTCTCATGATACTTACTTTGTAATGTGATGTTTGTAGAATCCATAGGAGTACCATCATTAGAACCACTCCCACGGCAAACGTACCATGTAAAGTCAGGACAGTTGACTCGAGGAAGGACAAATGTCAAAGAACCTCTTTTAAATGTTGTACCAGATCCGACCTCAAGACGAACGGAACTATCTGCAGGCATTTCAAACGTTTGCTGGTCAAGTGAGTAAGTTGCCACAAGATCATTATTTCCATTGAGCAATGTCATTAATGTAAATTGATCATCTGTTTGAAATTCACATGTTATTCTCATATTCTTTGAGTTCAAAGTGCTGTATGAAGGCATGTTCAATGTTACAGACTGACCTGTAAGAAGGAAAGGTGCAAATGAGTAAAACAGAAAAACACATAAACGCCAAACTTGCGGAAATGTTCTCAGCCCAAATGTATTTCCTCACCATATATATATATATATATATATATATATATATATATATATATATATATATATATTATGCACATTCTCCTTTTGCGTGTGATACATACAAACACGGAAATGTTTCTGTCTAATTGCCTAGAAAAAATATGAGAATTTGTTTGAAATTCCCCTTTTTTTCTAACGCCAAGATCCTTTCACATTTATAAAAGGTGCCATATTTCTATCTAAGATAAGAAAGCAAAAACTATACCATTTATTTTATCATTACTTAAAATAGCGATATTTTGAATCTAAAATCACCAATTTTTAGATGTTAAATTGAAAAGTTGTTTTTACTATTTTATCATTTATTAATTTATTCAAAGAAAAAGAAAATTTGACATCACCTTTGACTTTTTTTTAGTTCAATCTAAAATTAAAAAGACAGTGTACAATTTTATGTTTCCTTCTTTTGGACGTCACACCTAAAAATTTATAAACTATATTGCAAAGGATAAAGGCAAATTTATTAATTACTTAATGGTATCTTGTGCAATAGAAATTCAGACAATTGTATTTGAATGTGACAGGCTTTATACATAAAACTAAAATACATTGATAAAGACTTATTTACGGGCATGTCTTTATTTTCTAAATATGTCGCGATTCAAAGGATCATTCACTTACCTATTTTCATCCAGACCCCTTACTTCTTGATAACTATTCTGAAACATTCTAGTATTAGAAAATAATAGTGGACATTAACTCAAAGATTCATTTTTTATTTAAAAAATATTTATCATCTTGTCAATATTCTCACATAAGCAAACTTACTTTTCTCATCAGAAAAGTTACAATGAAAATAAATATTGTGGGGGCAATGTTACGTTGATAGTGAAGTGACTGAATACCAGATTATTTCTACTATTTGATAAAACTTACATCCCAATTACACAGGAGGAATTGCCGTTATTTCTGCAATTGTTCTAAGGAAATGTGTTCCTGAACCGTTTCCCTTTCTCTTTAATCTCTACACCAAATGTCTTGCTGATTCTTGCGTTCCAGATCTCTCGAAACCATCTTCTCTTGTTTCTGTTTTTAAGAATTCTGAACAGTTTGATCCTTCGACTCATTGTCATATTAGTGTTTTACCTAATTCTGGCAAAGTACTAGAGGTTCAAATCAACTCTGAATTTGTTAAGCATTTTAACACGACTTTCTTTCGTATAAACAAACGGTTTTCGTTTAATCAAGCGCAATCGTGTTAACGTTTAACGACAGTAATTTTCCTGATGTCTCAAATGAAGAATGAATTTGTTAATGTCTGGTTCTTTCTTCCTTATAAACAATATGGTTTTCATTTCACCACGTTGAACGCAAATATGTTAACGTTTATTGTTGAATTTATCTATACATCTTCAGATAATAACGTTGAGGCTTGGGAAATATTCTCTGTCATTTAAAATTTCAAAATACAATTTACACGGTTGTTGATGGAATATTAGAAGATAAACAAAATGTTCTTGCCTTTTTCTCATTTTTAAATGTATACAGCTAATTTGACAAACCGTTAGTCCTAAAAGTAGTTGCGAAATGGTCTGTAGAACTCAGGTGTTGGACGCAAAACTTTTTTTTCGAAAAAGACAAAGATCACCCAACCTGGAATTTATTTTTCCCAATGATTTACGGTAAAGTTCACTTAAGAGCAGTATTATCCTAAAAATGTGACGTATTTTCCAAAATTCAAAATGAACAATGTCATACATTTTCGTCAAAGTCATAAAACAGACAATCCTTAGAAACAAAAAATTCGACACCCCAAAATTAAACGCAAATGTATGGGTTAACGGATACACATTGTCCCAACGCAAGATAATGTTGAGAAACTCAAGATTATGTTAGCATATCATCAATTTAGTATCATCGTTGAACAGATCTCAAAAAGTACGTATTATTTGAAAAAATTCTCTGTAAGATCTTGACCAAATCCACCAATGTTTCAGAAGATGATCATTTCGTTTTTGCTCGAACGATTTATTATGAGGCACAAGTTATGATCAAATTTGACGCACCAATTGTCCTAAACATAGTTGGGTGATCTCTGACAATTTGCGTGTCGACAAAAAAGCATTTATTTGCTTTAAATGAGTTAATTTTGTACCTATAGACAATATCATAATGGAAATTAGGTAATTGTAATTGTTGCTGGTTTCTTTATTAATAATGATAAAATATTTTATTTTAAAAAAAATAAAAGACAATTCCATATAATGTGAGCATTACTTGAGAATTTCAAAATATGAACCAATGATTTATGTGTTCAGGAAGACTCTTTTTTAAAAAAGTTATAAACCAGTGTTATAAATACAGACTGATTACAAGATCTTTTTTTTAACCACTAAAATATTTTTGATTTGTCTTCCATTGAAAAACATTTTTATTTGTCTCCAATTTTTGGTTGGTTAATAAGATGTTTTTTATCTTTAAATAAAATATTTTGAGGCCTAAATTTTTATCAGACATATATATAATTTTAGGTAATTATTGCAATCTTTTTAACGAAAAATTATAAATTTTCATAAAAAATTATAAATTTGAGATTTTCATTTCATTATAATCAACATTTTATATGATAGAATGTGTTCCAAAATTAACTTTTTTGTTTTTAAATGTTAGGCCTTGAGCAGAGATATAATTGTATTTCCTACTCTGCATATCAAAGTAGGTCCAGTTAAACAACGTCTACAATATAGGAATGGCGACTGTTTGAAATACTTAACTTCAAAATTTGCAAGTTATGAAAAAAAATTTAAGGAAATTTTTAACGGTCCACTAATAAAACATTAATTAAAGACATCAATTTTCCAAATGTCTCGAATGAACGCAAAAAAATGCCTGGTTCTCATTCGTGGAATTGATAGAAAACTTTTTCCTTTATCAATTTTTTCAAATCTAACTTTTGTATTAAATGTGTTAGCGCATAAATGTATTATATGAATAGCCATCTTGACCAAATTCCAAAAATTTATTGATGCAAGAGATTTAACAAGAGGTGAGATTCCAAGATATATCAAATTTTGGAGGAACAAAATGTCCTGGGATTCCCAAATGATAGCTGATTGCTGTAAAAAGAGATTTATGTATTTCCTTCCTCTAGAAAGGTTTCAAAAAAAATATCACATGAAAAACTTCATATCTGTTTTTTTCATTTAAGTCATTTCTATCGTTATAATGTAATTTTACTGTAGATTTACAACTTGGTTTTCATGAAACTTGGAAAGAGTTTAACACATGAATTAATTTTTAGCCCTAATTTTAAAAAAAATTTAAAAAAGCACCGAAATTCCAAGAATCAAACGTCCAGATACCATTCAATAAAATATGTGTTCCCCAGTGTTTTATTATTAACGTCAGTACAGTAAAACGGTGTTGTTTTTTCCTTTACAAAACTTTAAAAAAAATCTAAACGCTACAGTCAAGTTTTCAAGAATTGAGGGACAGAAATGTATTGATGAGTTCATGAAGAAGAAAGAATGTCTAAAAAAGATAGGAGGGAACAAGACAGAAATTTAAAGAGTAATGTGAAATTATAGTTTAACATTATCCTGTGCGTTAACAATAAACATACTCATTGGAAAAACCAGTTTAATTGTTAAATTATTGAGCTAAATATAGGATCTGTTTAAAATACAGAAAAGTTCTAGTCAATGGCAGGTGGGAAGTGAGAACGTGTAGACTATTTCAGTGTTTATACGAACAAGTAAAGCGTTAAGCTACCATTCATCCATGATTTGAATATTGCTGCCACATCTGGTCTGTTGCTTCTGCTATATATTTATTTCATTGATAAAATAACATTTTTGACGGTCCACAAATAAGAACATTAATTAAAGAGAGCAATTTTCTAAATGTCATGAATGAACGCAAACAAAATGTCAGGTTCTCATTCGAGGACTTGATAGAAAACTTTTAGGTAATTATAGAGCTGCTAACTACGAATAAATCATAAAAAATATAAGGAACTGCAAAATCTTAGGTTGCAATATGAACGGAAAGATGCATGTTTTTGAATAGCCATCTTGACGAATTTCCAAGTAATTTAGGTGATGTGAGTGATGAACAAAGGAAAGAGATTCCACAAAGATAAGAAAATTTTAGAGAAATGGCAACAAGGCCTCTGGGATTCCCGAATGATGGCTGATTACTGCTGATGTTTAAATAGAGTCTTGCCATCAAAAAATAAATACTCTAGAAAGTTTTCTAAAATAGAATTTTTACCATAAGGAAAGCTTCATATCTGTTTTTTTATTGAAACAATTTCTCTCATTATAATGTAATATTACTGTAGATTGTAATGCTTGTATTCATGAAACTTAAAAAATGATTTCATCACATGACTTAATTTTTAGTCCTGATTTAAAAAATCTGGAAAATGTCTGTTGAGAAGAAACAGGAATTGGTAGAGCCAAGCCGAATTGGAATTCGTATTCAGTGCGACCAAATTACCAAGAATCAAACATCAAATACCATTCAATAAAATGAGTTCCCCATTAGCAGTACAATAAAAAAAATAACCGTATAAGTCGATTTAAATGCTACAGGCAGATTTATGATCTAGTGAGTGACAGAAACACAGATGAGCTCATGGCTCGAAAGAATGCATAAAAAATTGATGGGAACGAGACAGAAATTTAAATAAAGTGAAATTAACAATCAACTCCCTGATTGGAAAAGAAGTTTATTCGTTAAATTATCGAGTAAAACATAGGATCTGAATATTTACTTCTGTTAAAAATACAGATTTTCTTCCCATTGACAGATGAAGAGATGGCATCTGGAAACTATTGAATGTCTGTTAACAAATAAAATGTTAGGATACTATTCATCCATTATCTGGTCACGTGATTCGGCTTTATATTTAGAGATCGTTGATAAAATAAAATCTGAAATATTATTGATCCAGTCCTGGGATCTCGGTTTTAGTCACATTCCCACTGCCGTAAGGTAGATTCCCTGCACCTTTTCTGTAAGTACTTTCATGGTAATTGTTCTGATGAACTTTCCTCTATAAAATAGATATTATGAATTTAAGCGCTGTACAAAGATTGCCGGCCAGGTCTCATCATTTTTTAGTTGAAATTTCTGACAGTAGCCGTAAGTTCTATGCTAACAGTTTCTTTTCTCGCTTGTAGAATTTTCCTCTATTGTTTCCAGAATTCTCCTCTATTGTTTTCAGTTAATTTTGATATTCAAAAAATTAAATGCAATGTCAGTCGTTATCGTTAACTTCTGTCTTTTTAAATTTCCTTCGTTTGTTATCTCTATTTCGGAAATTTTATTTCCTATTTCCACACATTCAGTAAGCGTCTATCTGGTGTGATGACATTTCCGAATGAAAGTTTCTTCTTTCTGTCCGAACTCTCTTCTATGCTGCTCTTCACGGCTTCGGGTGACATTTTCTGCAGCCTAACATTGATCAATTCGATTTTTTTTTGTGTATTTCAGTTTCTTTCTGGTCAGATCCATTGCAAAGAGCTCCTTCATTTCATTGCATTTCCAGAAAACACTACGGCGCATATTGCAAAAAGATGCCTATAATTTTGTGTTTGAGATAACACCTCCTTGATACTAAGAATTTCCCTGATATGATTCTACTCGATCAGATCTATCATTTACAGACAGAAGACACATTCATCATCAAGTGCTTGCTATCTTGACCTTGCTCGCCAGTTAGATATGGAATGGAACAATTACCATATAAGGGAATTTTAGGTAAGGTAAATTTAAGGTAAGTTATAGCCCGACAGAACACACACGGTCCGAGCTATTTTAACCGCATTTGCATCCAGTCACAAGAATAAAAATGTAAAATCTGTTTGTAGATACGGTGGACTAATAAACTGCAGAAATCATATAGGTTACTTTAGTTGCTGGTAGAGGTTCATAAACGTAACCGTTATTTCAGTGATTTGAATGTTGGTGTCTGCGGCAGAATTGGATTCTCACCCCCGTTCCCTATTTTCATTTCAGCACAAGAAAAATGTCCAGACGGAGGTAAGACAAAAAAATTTTAATCTGGTAAAGATCATTTAATTGTGAAATCTAAAATGTTGAAACTTGCATATAAAGAAAGAAAGAAAGAAAGAAAGAAAGAAAGAAAAAAAGAAAGAAAGAAAAAATACAGAACAAATTTCGCCGTGGATACTTTATCACTAGAAATGTAAAATATACTTAGCGTGTATAATACGCACTTCTAGACTTAAATTATAGTCAGGGAAAATGTATATTAAAAAAACAAAATGCCAAAAAGGAAAAATAAATATAACATATAAAAAAATACTAACGTGATAATGAAAATAGATCATTTATATCATGGTCACAAGAAAAAAATTAAAAAGTACACTTACCTTCTGAGAGGTAAGGAAGTAGTAAAACCATTAAAGTTCCTATTAACAAAATTTCCATGATTCCCTTCACTGACAATTTAACCGTGGGCTTAAAGAAATAAACTCAAGATAATTGTCGGACAAGAGGAAAAGTTTTTCTACACTTGAATATATGGCGAGTAGGAAGTTAAATGTCATTGGTGTGGTTAGGAAATAAACCTAAATCAGTTTCATTTATTCGTTTACATTTTATATCACTACGCACATATATCATACTGTTTATGTATATATACATATATTTTTGCTGCTGTTGTGAATATCGTATCAAACATGGTGATATGCAAATGGATATTAAAATAACCTATTATTTTTTTAAATATGGTTATTCTTATGTACATCTATCTATCTATCTATCTATCTATCTATATATATATATATATATATATATATATATATATATATATATACCCATATTGAGCCACATAAATAAATATCCACTCATGGGCTTTTAAGAGTTCGTTTTCTTCATAATGATAATAATTATATATAATATACATTATTTCTAATCATATATATATATAGGTATAAATGTTTATCTATATATCTATCTATATCTATTATCTATAATCTCTCTCTATCTATATATATATATATATATATATATATATATATATATATATATATATATATATATATATATATGTCCATATTGATTCACATAAATAGATATCAGATCATGGGCTTTTAAGAGTTCGTTTTCTTCATAATGATAATAGTTATATATATATATTTCTAATCATATATATATATATATATATAAATAAATATATATATATATATATATATATATATATATATATATATATATATATATATATATATATATATATATGTATATTGATTCACATGAGCAGTTGTGCCATGATATTGATCACCATTAATTTATTAGATGTATATTTATATTTTATTTTATAGTTATAGCTTTATAACTTTATGTAATTTGTGTCAATGTCTGTGTGTTTTAAATGTTTTTCCTTTGTAAGAATGCATTTAACTCGACTTAATATATTTTTATCTAAATATCTGTATTCCATTGTTGCTTATTGTTTATACATATGTGTTTGTTTTTTATTATAAATGTTTAGATGTGAATATATATATTTATATTTTATCTCTACCTTTACAACTTGAAGTAAATAATGTGTGTAGATGCGTGCGAAGGGTTTTTTTTCTGTTTTTTTTTACATATAAAATTCCTTTTCTTTTAGCTACGTTTATTTTAAATACAAAATTTAAAGAAAACAACAATCCCCTACCGGTATTTAAGCAATGGCGGCCACAACCTTAACAACATAAGAGACGCAGATGACACTGTACTGATTGCAGACACGGAAAAGAAATTTTTAAAATCCCCACACAGAAGTAGCAAAGGAGAGCGAGAAGAAGGGACTAAATATAAACTACAAGAAGACAGAATGCATAGTCATCAGTAAAATGATGAGACTTAAATGCGATTTACAGGTAAGAACCTATAGAATCAAGCAGGTTGAAATGAAAGCAATTAACGGAGGCGGAAGAAGGCATTTAGCTCCACGCTAATAGCCATAACTAGTCCAGCGAAAAGGGTCATATAATTATATAATTTAAAAAAGATTAAAGTTCCTTTCTGAGCCTTCTGGAGAAGATTTTTAAATTTACGAGAAGAACATTCATTTCAACTTTTTCCATGGATCAAAATTCAAAGATTCCTCGAGAGGACAGCTTGAAAAACGAAGGAGACATCCCGTTTGAGTATTCTGTTAAGAACGGAAGCGGGAAGGGTGCATTTTTCAAAATTTCTGCCTTGCGCGATTTTTTTGTCTTTTTTTTTTAATTAAATTGACAAAATTTTTTTCTTCTTTTATCCGTTAAAAATCCATTTTTGTTAAATCAGAAAATGGTTATCCTTAGAAATAGGCGCACAGAAGGAATTTTTTTTACTGAAATTACTAATAGATTATACCTTTTTAAATCATTTAAATGTAAATTGTAATTATTTAAAATAAATGTATTTTCCCTTTTAAAATTTTATATTACAGCGTTTGTCTTTTTCCTTATTTTTATTTTTATCGTGAGTTGCTGTTTTTACCAAAAAGGCTTTGTGTCTGGCGCAAGAACTTTTTCAGCTGGTAGAAAAGTCAAAATTTTATAATATAATTACGTGCTTTAGTTCTTCGAAGGTTAACACTATTATACCTTTAATGCATACCTATTCGGTATTTCGGAATTTCTATTTTACTGTAGGTATTTTAAAGGTTGATAAAAATACCAATGTAACTGCTTTCTGAAAACAACCCTAATTTTTTTGATAAGTTAACCTTTTAAAACTTTTGGCTCAACATTTAAAATTTTTAGGTTTTTCTGCTCCCTAGTCTTTATAATCGCAACATAAGGTGAAATCTCATTCGAAATTCATATTTGAAGTAGTGTCAATAATTACAAATTCTTTGGTTAATATTTCTTTCATGTCTGTTACTCTTCAACACAATTCATGGATCGTCATTCCATTATCACTAAAAAAAATAACCCAAAATGAAAAAATAAATGTTTCGGTATGATGTTCTAGACAGTCCATTCACTAATATACGGCCATATCACTTTGGAATACCGGTTCCTGTACAATCACTGAAGTTAAGCAACGTCGAAGCTGGTCATTACCTAGATGGGTGCCCGCTTGGGAATACCAGGTGCTGTAAACATAAATGTGCGGGTGGTGTAATGGATAAATATTCTTGGGAATGGTGTGAATTCATTTCCTCTTCCCCAGATATGGGTTAATTAGTACGACTTGTATCATTAAAACCATTATTATCTCAAAAAAGTAAAATAAAACCCAGAGAGTTCGCTAAACAAAAGTAACCAACCATAACCCCACGGCAAAAAGACTTGTTTTCTAATGGCCACAGACTAACAGCTTCTTTGATTTTCTACGGCTTATTAACTTTTAAAAAGCGTTTGATTAGTAGTGAGAAAACAAACAACTAAAAGCTAGTTAAAATTTAATTCTTGTTAATATTTCACCTGATAAAAATTCACGATTATTTCTATTGATGCGTATTTTATATTTAATATAACATTTTCTTTTATTGTTCTACTTTTAATTTGATAATGAATAATTGAATACAATGAATGGATGATTTCTGAATTCGAAGTTTCGCTTTTATTTTATTCTATCAGAAAAGAAATCTGCTTCATTTGAATGAAACTAAATAAAAATTTTCTTGATTGTTTCTTATTTACTAATTCTGTCGGGTGTAATAAATTAAGTGTCATATGACATTTCACGGTACTATTACACTAAAATAGTTACCTGCACTTTTTCGCGGGAAAACAGCATAGCGTAATGAAAAGGCTTCAAACTTAATAAAAATAAAGGTTTATTGTCAAAATGTTTATTTTAT